ATTCTTGATTGTTTTGGTGAGATTTTGTTGAATTTTGATATTTTATATGATCATTACTTCACTTGTTTTCTTGTCTCTATCTTGCCATGTTCCATTGCCCCGAACATTCCTTTGTGAGCTTTTCATGATGTGCCTATAATTAAATTGACTGTTGTGCAATAAAATGATTTTCCGCATAGATTGACTTGAGACATTTCACATCACTTGCGAACGTAATGCACGATTACCTCGGAGACCTTAAATTTTCAGGTTGTTGGTTAAAACTGATTTCCAGGCTCAGGATGTTCAAGAAGTTCGATGAGAAGGAGGACATAACTGGAGCAACCCAGCTGAAATCTTCCATTCAGGCTTGTTTTCCTAGTATTCATTTCTTGGTTTTCAATAGTGTTTTAACTTGGCTTCTTTCCAACAGAAAAAAAATATTCTACTTGGAAGAGTTCGCTCCAATTTCGTGTTTTCAGAAAGGAATCAGGAACAAAATAATTGAATCGTATCCACATATCGAACCATTTCTAGCCGACATCCTACCTAAAAAGGTGATTTTGCTAGCAAAGTTTCATTTTTTTTCGTACGTAGTTGGCGGGGGGGGGGGGAACTACTCAGCCGCGCCTTTCTGTCTCTTCTCCTGACCTGTGCTCAGCCCTAGAGCGCTAACAACCAGGTTCGCCGCTAACGACATACGTTTGGGGTGGGGTAATGCTCTAGGCTAGACCACACTCATTTCTGCTCATCTGTGCTTTCCCTAACGCTGTTGGAAAGGACGTCACTGGGTGTGCACTTTATTGTTGGGGTGCGTAGCGTCGCGAGCAGGGCTTTGAAAAAGTTTTGCCTCTGAAAGGCCGCTCCCCTTTATTTCTTGTCGTTTTCTTTTGCTGAACCCTTCCGCTCTTCTAGAGGTTCACAATTTCACTTATTGAGGGCACCCTAAAGTATACCTTGCCATATTCCTCTGTTTTTCTGCAACTGCACGGTCTCGCCGAGAAAATGGGGAGGGGAAGGGGACGTGGTCCAGTTGCGCTGCGGGCTGGCCCTCTTAGCTACCATTTTGGCTGAGCACTCCGATTCCCGTTTTTTCACAGATTTACAATTGCTGGGCTCATAGCTTATAGTTCATTTCGCCTTCAGCTTAAATTGCTCAATGCTGGATTTTTCAGGAGACTTTCAAGATGATAAAATGCAAGGATCACATAGAGTTATTGACAGATCATAACAATGTCGTACAGTTCTTGAAGACAAGGAATACAGAATGGGTCCCTACACTTCGCCTACTTCACAAGTATCCCTTCATCATGCCCCATCAACAGGTAGAGAAA